GAGATATTCTATATGCAAACATAATCGATAATTTACACGCATTACTTTTACGGATTTGTACGTCTATAACGGAATAATTTATGCATTATATTTCGTGAAGTAAGAGTTTCGAAATTGAAAAGTTTGCGCATTGGAAACTGCGAAGTGTATCTTCATTTGCGTAACAAAAGTACAATCGCGAAAAAGTCAAGAGAAATCGGCGTCGCGGAATTGTTTTTCATTCGCAAACGAGCGAATAATTAATTGCCTCGAGTTTCTTGAAATACACTTCTTTTTTTTGCAGGAGAAATAGCTCGCGAGCGCGCTTCTTTCTTTCGCTCTTATACTATGATAAAGAAAAATCAAGGCGAAAGAATTGAAACAATCAATTATCTCTGGCAAGCCCTAATAAGAAAATTGTTTCTCTTTATGATAGAAAATTAATATGCTGCGCACGCGCGTTTCGCGTTTGCTTAGATCATCGTGGCTTTTTAAAAATGAATAAAGTGCTTCTCGCGAAAGCTCTCTCGGAGATTTTAATATACAATTCCTCAAAGAAACGCGCTTAAAAAATCTGAACCGTTAAATGCGAATCAATAAATCTCACTCTTAATCAATGGCGTATTTTTCCCTTTTTTCCTTTTTTATGCAAAATATATGTATCGAAAATTGAAACGAGAATTTGTGCCGCAATAACACAGACGCGCTAATTGGATACAAGTCGTCGATTGCTTTTCCGCGTCGAGCTTTCAAAAATAGCGCAAATAAAAAACGAGCACGACAGGGCAGTTTTGTATTTAATTGCTGGATCATTCCCTTATCTCGCAGCGGCAAATTGGCGATAGGGGTTTGTCGGTGTTAAATTGATTGTGTCCTGTAGAGGGATGTTGAACATAGCGTAGCGCCGGCAGGGGGTACACGCGAGTATGTGTGTGTGTGAGTGTGTACATATCTATCGATACGAAAATAACGAGAGAACACGCGCGCGAGTGCATGTGTGCGCGTGTGTATATAACGTTATTCTTCATTTTTCATTTCTCCATTGTAATTCGCATCGGCGTTGGCTCGCGTTTAGACGCGTTTCCTCGCACGCTGTATATTTAATGTTAAACTGCCATCATATTATGTTGATACTGATCTATGCGATCTAGGCAAACATAACTTGGGGGCAATCGCGGAACTAAAGTGCATATTTAGCGATAAAGTGTGCGCGCATTGGAAATATAACACTCCACATCTCTTCTGCGCGGCTAAAGAAAACTAAAAGGGGCCATCCGTCTGTGGTAGCTGAGGAAAATTGAGAGCGGCGTTTTATTTCTATACGTAAGATATATTTACCGGACATAATAAACCGCGCGAATAAAAATGATGTTTTATCGCTCTGTTGTTGGAAGATTATATATTGATGAAAAATAAGGATCCCTTTTGGTAAAGTACTTTGAAAATTAACGTCATAGCGTATCGAGAGATAACCGCAATTCGCTGTACGTGACAAATACATTATGCCCGGTGTATATGTATGCGCATATATACGCGAGTGTACGCATAATAACGGTGGAACGAATCGATCCGCGCGAATGCAAACTGTGGCAATTATTCGAACCGCAGCTGCGCGGAAACTTTCCCGTAACAGATCGCGCAACAATTAATAATCTGTATTAATTACTGCAAAATGCAGATATGCAATTCGAAGACGATAAAATTTCATCCCTCCTCGCGCCACCTTCTGCGTCTTCGACCACTAATTAGTCTCCGAGAATTACTTCACTCGACATATGTATTCCGCACAGAGACTGGAATTATTTCATGTATAGATTCCGAAAGCGACTTTGAAAATCACCCATCGTACGTCTAGATTCCGTGACGGCTTTTCATGACATTTTCGCACATATAATTTTCGGTAAAGTATTTTTTTGTTTTTCTAAAAGCTACACGGAACAAATTTTCTCTTCAAATTTATCCTGAAAATCATGCATGATAATCGGTGGGATAATATGTATTGGAAGAATTTTATAAAAATTTCTCTGATTAAATATTTACCACAATAAAAAATATTAATATGTACACAATGAAATTAATCGAACGTATTTAATATTTTTTATTATTATAAATATTCATCAGAGAAATTCTCTCATAAAATTCTCCCAATACCTACCATATTGTCCCACGATCACCACGATTTTCAGGATAAATTATAAAAAGAAAATTCCCTCTATATACGCGAAGAGATTTCGAGATCGAAGAAAAAATATATAGCGGGTCCCCTACATATATCGGAAGACTTTTCCAATGTGGGACGCACCGTCGCGTCGATCGAACGTGAAAATTTAGAGTTTCCGCGTTGTCGCGCAATCACGGCGAACAACGATCGAATCTCGTAGGACAAGCGGGAATAACCCGTCTCAATTAATCCATCGCGAGTGTTCCTCGATGCTCGTCGATGCTCCGGACGCTGAATGGCCACTCGAGACGCTCGAGCGAGTGCCGCGAGACGCACATATTAGATAACTATCGACAGACCAACGGAATTCGCCAGGCGACGTACGTCGATTACAAATATCGAGGTACGCGATAATCGTACGACTCAATTAATGCATCGGGACGATCGCTTGTTGCTGGATTCGGCCGGAGTAATTGTTTGTAGACGATTTCCTACGACGAGTTCCAATCGCGAGGAACATGCTAATGTGATGTCAAATTCTCTAATTCCGTCGCTAATATCGCAAAGAATATTTCTCGAAGAAGCAATATTTTCTTAAAATATTATATGTATATTGACATTAGCAATGCTGTTGAAATAATTGAGTTGCGAGAGAAAGTTGGAACACAAATTCACAGTTTCTAGTTATTTGATTTTCATGTGAAAAGTCAGGACGCGATAAATATAGTCGAAATATAGCGATACGTTATTTTTATCACCTCGCAGTGAAATTTTTGTAAAGGGAGACATGATGTTTTTATTTAATAAATATTATTGACTTTAGCAATATCTTTGTAAAAAAGAAAAAGTTACAGGAAAAACATTGAACGACCTACTTTCAAGATATTTCAAGAATTTCTCAAGACTTTTAATATTTTCGTAAATTATATGATTCGTGAATTATATTATGGAAATAGCGATGTCTGTGTGATATTCTTAATTAATTGCTTAGTTGCGCGATGAAGATTTTCTTCTATAGAAGAGGGAAATTTATATTTGATTAAAATGTTATTGACATGCGAATATCGTTGAGATAATTAAATTATAATTAAAGGTTGTACATCTCATTTGAATTTGGAAATATTCTATTTCATCTCAAGTGAAACGCGACGGGAAAATGTAGAAATGGACGAAATTCGATCACGTGATTGCTCAACTCGTGCTGCGACATGACGCAAATTCCCCGAGCGATCCTCTTCTCTTTCGTATGGAGATTCGGGAAAGCGATCTCGAAAATTGTTTATCATGTTTAAATGTTAAATTCGTCTTTGTTCGACAATTTTAGAAAACTTTAAGAGAAATTTTATTTGACATTTATATTATAAATATTAATTTTTGTATTTTATATTCTCACACAATATATTTGATGCGTCGAATAAAAGTTTCGAAGAAACACATCTTTTTTATTTTGTGTGTAATCTTTATTAGACACATTTATTAAACTACCAACTCTTACACACTTATGAAACAGTTTGTAAAAATAGATTTTTTTAAACATGCCAATATGTTTTTACAATACTACTTTTACGTTTGCTTTATATAAGATTTATCATAATAGGAACGATATATTAAATTCGACCCAAACTAGCCAAGAAATTTTTATTTTATTTCCACAACGTTTCGACCATCTGTTTTTTGGTCCTTTTCAAGTGAAAAACTAGAACGGTACAATTAATTAAAATTAATAAACATTTTTGAAGGTTCCTCATATATCGGTCAAACAAAAAGACATTTGCGTACTCGTATGAAAGAACATTCTAACAATATAAAATTGTAACAAATCATTCGGTCGTAAGCAAACATAGACAAGAGTTGGGACATGAATTTGATTGGGTATCACTCGTTATATTATTATACATAATGAAAAACATGTTAGAAAGAGAGAAATCGCAGAGATGTTTTTAATCAAAAAAGTTAATAATACAGTTAACCTACATAAAGACACAGAGAATTTAAACATTTATGACAAAATTATAAAGGTCGTATAAAATTTTATATACTCAGTTTTTTGACGATCCATCATAACGATAAGATGCGGTTACTTTCTTTCAAAAGTTATTTCAAATGTTTTTAAAAAATTCCGATAATCATATTGTTTAATAATCATGACAACAGTGTCAACTAACTGCGCTTTTATCAAAGAAGTATGTAAAAAATTTTTAATTCTTGCGTTTACCTTCAAAAATGTTTATTAATTTCAATTAATTGTACCGTTCTAGTTTTTCACTTGAAAAGGACCAAAAACAGATGGTCGACACGTTGTGGAAATAAAATAAAAATTTCTTGGCTAGTTTGGGTCGAATTTAATATATCGTTCCTATTTTAAATACCACTAGCGACGTTTTAAGTATTCAATTTGATTTATCATAATGCAGAATTGCATATACACTACGTTAGTGTCGGAATTACGCATTTGCAATTTGAATATCCTTTTTTATAGAGAAGTTTTTCCACGCTACATATAGAATAACTCTAAACCAGCATTATCCTCCGAAATATTTTCTTAATATAATTTTAAAATTTCCTTCAACTCGACAAAAGAAGGAAGATACAGATAACTATAAATATTGAACTTCTCGAAATTATACACACTTCATCCAACAATAAAAGATGCGTAAAAAGAGAAGGAAGAAAATGGAGCTTTTTAAAATAACATTATATAGGGATTATATTTTGCATGCGAGAGATAAAAATGTTCCCGTAAAAGTTTTTGCTGAATTATCCGCGTTATAGATGACTAGTCGCATGTGACTGAAGGTCGCGCCGACAAATATTTGAATTGCAAGTATCATAATACCACCGTCGCATTTGTTACTTTCAGGATCGACGAAAACGGTCCTTGGAACGCGACGAAGGAGATCATAACGCCGCACAACGACACGTTCTACACCGTCGAGAACTTGAGGCCATTCACGGTGTACAGCTTCCGAGTGGCGGCGATAAATGCTCTAGGACGCAGCAAACCCAGTCAAGCGTCCTACTATATGGTGACTCTTCGTGAAAGTAAGTTCTTGCGATTTTAATTTTCTTTTTTTTTCTTTCTCTTTTTTCCTCTCTGGTACTTCTGCTTTTATTGAATTTCGATCGATATCGAACACTTTTACCGCTCGTTATATTCCGAATGTATCCCGATGAATTGTTACAATATCTTTTCTCTCGGAGAGAAATAAGAAATTAAAAAAATGGAGAACGGTTACAGGTTTTAAAAGAGTTACGTTTCTATATTTTACAAAGAAAATGCATGTATATATTTATTTTTTGTATGATTATAGAATACACATTTAATGTAATTAATTATACCCTAGAGCATCTTTATTAAAACGGGATGTAAAGTATATTTGATATCGTGTGGTTTCAATAAACAGTATATATAAATAATTGCACAATTTAATTAATTGTTCTAAATATTTATATAAATTATTACGTATATTATAAAAATATTTAACATACGAAGTAATATATAAACGATGATACATAATACATCAATATGTGCTACATAAATAATAACACCGCAAAATAATTCCGGAAATTAAAATAAAACTCGAAGAAATTCCCGTGGGTCTTCTCCATTTCGATATTGCCACTTTTACATTTATACAAAAGAATGCTATATATAAAGGAGCCTGCTTCTCCAAGCGAATCCATCGTCTATGCGAGAAGCGCTTACCTCTTCTCGCATCGCGGCCAAAGTTCTCCGATGGGGATCAATATCGGCTTTAGGATATCCTCTCGTCGCGTACATCTGCGCGCTTCAAGCCGATTCAATCGTCCAAATTACATCTCCCGCGGGCTATCAAAACGAAGTTTGTCGACCACGACGACGCGCCCGAGAGGCGTCATGCTAAATTAAATGGTTGACACCCTCCGGTCGTTAGCGCGCTCGGAAAGGCACAAAGCGTTTGACAGCGACGAGCTGTGGAAGAAAGTGACGAGAGCGAACGGAAGGAGAGGAGGAAAGTCCGCGAGTACGGGAAAAATGGATGGATGAAGGGAAAGAGGAGTGTTAAAAGCGCGGCGCGGCCAGTTCTTGGCATCCGTGGAGAGACGTAAAGAACCGTCCGGAGCGACTAACTAAAGAGGTGCTAATTGCAGTCGACAGCCGGGAGTGCGCGCAAGCAGGCTCGAGTCTCGAGCCTATTCCTTTTCTTTTGTCTCCTAATTTGCTTTCCTTCGCTCGCTCTCTCTCTCTCTCTATCCCTTTTTCCCTCCTTTCTCTCTTTTTACATTCCGCGTTCCTTCTTTCGTCGGACGACGACGACGACGACGACGTCGACGATGCTTCCTCCGTTATAAAATAGGTTGAGCGCAAGGCGAGCAGCCCTGTAAATTCCGTCGAGCTCGCCCGTGCGACATTGTATAACGTATAGCCATATATACGTGCCACGGACGACAAAGTTTGCGCGCGGAGCCATCTCCTCTCCATGGCTCTCCGCCCTTTTCGACCTGGATTCCCGTGCGTCCTGATCGCAAGCCCAATTACCACGTTACTCGCGCGCGCGAAGGACCGAGAGACTCCGCGGTCCAAGCGGAATTAGATAGCTCGTGGAATGTGACCATCGTAAATGGAATTCGGATTCGTCCTTTTCTTCTTTTTACGGAGATGCATAAATGCGTGCGTGGAGATTAAATTCGAGTCTCTTACAACAGCTCTCTGTTTATTTTTTTCTTTCTTTTTTCTCGCTTTCACACTTTTATGGGGCACATTTTCAATTCCTTTTCTTAATTGTTCTGTCAAGTACCTGTAAGGAGTTTGAATAATTATGACACTCGATATAATTGATATTCGATACTCGACGATTTAATAATTAGATGTAAGAAAAATCTCTTCGTTATCAATGACGTTATAATTTATTTGTTATATATATATATAGATATTCTCAAGATTAATATTCAGTGAGTTATTAAGACGTTTTATACTAGAGAGATAAGATGATTATTATTTAAGATAATTAAATTATAAATTTGTTCTTTTCTTTTCTATAGAGATGCATAAATTCGTGCGTGGAGATTAAATTCGAGTCTCTTACAGCTCTCTGTTTATTTTTCTCTTTCTTTTTTTCTCGCTTTGACACTTTTATGGGGCATATTTTCAATTCCTTTCTGATTATTTTATCAAGTACCTGTAGGGAGTTGGAATAATTATGGCACTCGATATAATTAATATTTGATATACTCGACGATTTATTAATTAAATGTAAGAAACTAAATCTCTCTTCGTTATCAATGACTAATTTATTTGTTACATATAGATATTCTCAGGATTAATATCCAGTGAGTTATTAAGATGTTTTATATATTAGAGAGATAATTCTATTAAATTATAAATTCATTCTTTTCTTTTTTACGGAGATGCGCGCGTGAAGATTAAATTCTACTTTACAACTCTCTGTTTATTTTTTTCTTGCTTTGACACGTGGCACATTTTCAGTTCTTTGCGCTGATTGTTTAGTCAAGTATCCATTGTAGAAAATTGGAATAATTATATGACACTTGGTATAATTGATTTTTTGATACTCGATCATTTAATAATTAGATGTAAGAAAAGTTAAATCTAAAAATTCCTTCGTTTATTAAACGACGTTATAATTCAAGATTAATATCCGGTGAGTAGTTATTAAGATATTTTATTAGAGATATAAGATAATTATATTAAATTATTGAGCACGCAATAAATTATTAATATTTTGCTAATTAAGTTTTAAATTAAATGATCGATTGTCGGGATATTTCGGATTTATCTCTGAATTTACAATTTACAAAACATTTCATCGTACATGTACATATATTTCATATTGGAATTACCTTAATTAATATTATCCAAATACGTTGGCTGGGACGTCTCCTTGTCCATAAAAATTTTGCCCACCCATTTGTCGTAAAATAGATAAACGAATTTTATCTCGAATTCCTCGCCTTGCCACTTTCGAGATACTTCGGATGAAAAAAAAATTGGAGCACGATACCGATGTTGCACATTATTTCGTAAAACTAGTAGAGCGTGTACGCAACCAACGCGATTAAATGTAGGCGCGAATAGCTACAGATTCGATTTTATCGCGTGAGGTAGAAATAAAATTATTCGAGACGCACCCGCATTACCGAACCGGATTTCACGTCATGCGGAAATGCGAGCGCGTATATATACATATACGTATGTATATATACGCGCATGTTTAAATAATTAATTTAAATACCACCGAACGCGCGATGTCAACGCGGCCAGATGTGTCATCGATCGGGAGAAAAATTCGGTAGCAATGCCGGTCGCCGGGAATCCTGTCACGATTACGTTCGGCGCTTTTGTAATTTCCCATCGCAACATCGGAAAGAGCCCCGGGACTGATCCGATCAGCTGTACGTCCCGAATTAGCGACTTCATAGTTTCGCGATAAAATCGATGTAACCAGTTTTTTTTTTTTTACACGATCCATACGGATGTTTTCTCACGGTAGTTTAGATTCCCCAAATATCGCGAGAGAATCGATTCTTGCGTATTTTTTATGAACATATACATGTATGTATATCGGAAATATAATATTGCTGAACTTTCCCTTCGCGTAAAGTTTTTTTCCGCGGTTGTTAAGTAACGCGATACACAGTAGCGAAATTTTTCGTATAAAAAAAAAGAAGAAAAGGGACTTTTTTATTCCGCGGAATATAAAGCGCGATCGAAAAACGATATATTCGTCGTGCGACGCTGCGCTGCTGGTTCAGAGTACGCGCGTGGATGAAATGCAGTCACAGAATGCATTCGCGTTGCAGCCGATGCAGCCGAAATATCGTATGCACTTGAAATCGACGCAGCAGTGCGGCGCATTCACGAAGAAAAAGAAAAAGGGCGGAGATGCTCCGTACCACTATTTCTTACGTCGCTTACGATTTCTCGTATAAGAAAGGGAGGAAGAAACGCAGAGAAGGAATACCTATACCACAAAAGAGTGAATTACTTTCGTCTTTGTAATATTCCTTTTTAGAGTAGAGGGAGGACAAAACGCTGTATTTTTTTCACCTCTTTCGCGCTTATATTATCAGCGCGCATCCATATTTTTAACCCTTAGTCCCGACGGTTCTTTTCGGCACCTTTAATCCCGACTCATGGGTCGTTTGCGTCTTTGCGTTATTTGGATTAGTAAAATCGCTTTAAAAAATCTGAAGAAATTCATGGAGCTTCTTGCAACCTTCAACTTGAGTCCCAATCATAATATTTCGATAAAAATTTTTTTTTATATAGTTTGTTATTAAGAAATGGAGGTACTTAAGGAAAAATCACTTGTTCACTTAAAATATCATAACTTTAAGCCAAATGAAGATATCGACAAAAATAAAAAAAGAAATTAAAGGTGAGGAACACCTTTCATAAAAACAATAGTACAAAAAATTGTATTAAAAAAAAATGCTTAATTTTTGTTGTAAAGTGGATAAAAATTAATAACAGAACAATGTTTTAGTGTGTGATGATACGTTTAATTGTGATAACAAGATATACAGCATGATATGGCGCGTTCCGTACCCGTTTTCAAAAATTACAGCACTTTGAAATTTCGTTTGGGTCGCAAACGACCCATGAGTCGGGACTAAGGGTTAATTACGCGAACTGACGCGCATTATCGATTTCAACGCCGGGAAAAACATTCTGTTCTTCACAGGGGGAGAGATAGATTCGAGGAAGAAAAAAAAAATGGATATCTTTTCCAGGTCGGTTGATGCGCGCGCGAGATTCGTTTCGATTCGGGCCGCGCGTACGAACGGAATGCGGCAGTCGATATATGCCCGCATCGACATCAACGATCGTACGAGTGGCGAGTAATGCGTCAATATTGACAGGACGCGCAGACAGGTAACGTTGCGCGCGTTTCGCAGGCCGCACGGTCGGCGGATTTCTCTCGTTCGAAGCGGGACGAACGGATGGACCGAGGGGGAACCCGTCGTGCATTGGTTTATGCCACCGGATTCTAATTCGTGATTCTAATTCGTGGGTATCGGTGCGGTAGGCCGGTCAGGGTAGGTAGGTCGGTGCTGGTGCTCCGGCAGGGTGGCAATGGCACGGGAATTCACGATGGCTCAAATGAAAGCTCTCTCTCTCTCTCATGCTTTCTGCTTCTATCCCTCTCTCTCTCTCTCTCTCCCCCCTGTGGATCAATAGGGCACGGACCGACGAAACTTCTCCACTACCACTTTACTCCCACGACCGGGTCTCTCCAATACATGTACATATATACTATACAAATATATATATATTATATATATATATATATATAGACACGTATACATTTATATATGTATGTACACATATAAGTACACACGTGTGTGGATATATATAATACGATCCTCGTGCCCATTTCCGGACCTCGCTCTCGCCATAAATATACAGCGCAACCGAGCTACCAATTAGCCATCGGGACACCCGTCGGCACTGCGTCGTCTCGGTTAAGTTCATTCGCATCGAGTCGAACCGAAAATTGCGGCAACTCGGCCGAGAGATCGCGCATTTTTCCCTCGACATCCTCTTAGTGTTCATGAAAAAGAACCGCGTCTCTCTCTCTCTTTCTTTCTCTGTAAGAATTCGCGATGAGGGTGATTCGCAGTCGCGGTCAACCGTGATACTCCCGAACTTTGTTCCAAATTTTACAATTGACTTACGAGACTTATGAACTGTGCTCTTTAAAAAGCGCAAGAATTTACTTTTGGAAAATATTTGACAAATATATTTTCGTTTTTCGCTTCTCTGATAATATAAACGTTTTTATACGTCTGCTCTCTTTCTCGTTTTTTTTTCTCTTTGGTGAAAATTTTCATAAAATACCTAAAACTAAATTTGATCTCGCAGTCAGCTGATTGGTGGTCGTATATGAGAAGTAATTAAATTCTTCTCTCGCGCCTCTATGAATAAACGTTAATTAATCTCCCGAATTTCTAATTTGGTATAAGAATTCGATATCATACAATGTTACATTGCAACTGATATCGATTGCGTTCGCTTGAGAAGATTACTCAGTGACCACGCTGTTAATTCGGTATATCGGGCAAGTTGAGCAGATTAACAACCGCTTGTAATAACAACGATAAATGAGGAACTCAAGGTTTAATCGTCGATTGGTTCAGCCGAGGAATTTGCTCGACGATTAGATATGCATCCCGCGCACTCGGTATAATTAATTTCTAGGATAAATCGAGAGCGAAATCTCTCTCTCTCTCTCTCTTTTCGATACGAATGAAAGAATGAGAGTGAGAAAAAGATGATAAAAGAAAGAAGGAGAGAGATGAAAAAAGAGGTGACTCGCATTGTTGCCACCGCAGCATCTAGCGATGGGTCCAGAGCTTCCGGGTAAGTTCATTCGCGAGAGTCGTCTCGAGAATCGGGAAGGAGCGGTAGCTTCTGTCTGCTGTGTGAACTATTTTCGATTCCGACGGGGTTGATAAAGTAGTGGAGAGACTCGGCGGATGCAATAAAGGCGCCTTTCCGCGAGTCACGTTTCGACGTAGCGCGTTGGAAGCCGTGGAATCTCTATAGTACAGTGACCGAAGTAATTTATTTTCCGCCTTGATATTACATAACGACGATACTTTGTCCCGCCACGGTTAAATGATGAATCATTCAAGGGGTCTCGATTCACTATTTAAACTTGTACACTTAATCGACCAGTTGCGTCTTGTATAAAGCCACGTTAAGTATATAATTAAAACACTGATTAGAGCTATATACGCTTGACGTAAAGCATCAATTTCGATCGGGGTGACGTAATTTCCCATGCCAAACTATGTTTAATATGTAATATGTTTATGCACTTACGGTCCTGCTGTATATATATACGATACATTGGTTTCAAGAACAATATTAGCAATATGTTTACGAGAACGGTTTGTCACGATTAAGCGTTTCAGCGTTTACGGCGAAATTGGTACTTCGATAATATATCACGGTGGTATAAAACCGGCGTTATCGTCATAAACGCGCCGACGAGGTAATAATAAGTTAACGCAGATTTAGCGCCAGTAAAAAGTGCAGCCCGCATTTATCGCGGCGCTAAATTGCCCGATGAAAGTAAGGACCGAATTAAGAGACTTATATATACGTATATATCACTTATTCCACTAATGTATATACGTACTCGATTCGACTTAACACTGCTGTGTGATAAACTATAAATCTTTTCAATGACATTTATTATGCATTATGCGCATAAATATGTAACGCCACTTTATCTTTAGTACTTGCAGAATTTTAATTATTAATCTTTCTCTCTCTCTCTCTCTCTCTATTTTAATCAAATCACAATATGAAATAAAATGCTAAAAATATAACACGAGTGCGCTTTTCCCTTGAATCATAAATAATAATCGGTCGCCTTATTCCTTCTTTAATTCCGCACATTAACGTCGATCGTTTCAACAAACATTAACAAAATGAAACGATGAGAAATTAATTGACGGGACGAAGCTCCTTACTTTTCCGCGAGCTCTCGCGCGCAATTAACGCCTCGCGATCGCACAATTAACGCTTCCGCCGGCATTATACAGCACGACGGATGGATGGGGAACGGTCGGGTTAACTGACACACAACGCGCATTAAATGTCCCGGTATTATTTCTGCGACAATTTCTCACCCTCGACCCGAGTCAGCTGACGTGCCGACGCGATATCTCGCGGCCGCGACAGCGCGCGAGAGCGTTTCAGAAAGTGACGCAGGGATGCTAATTATTTCGAACGCGCACCCTCTGTGACGGGGACAACGAGCTCTCTCGCACGCCCCGGGCCCGCGATAAGGGGACCACCCGAAAACAAATTACGCGGGCTTTAAAATTATTACACGACCATTTTTACGAGAGGCGACCTCGTCGTCTCTCCACGTGCGCCGCATCCGAGAACCCGATAACCTCGCTTGCAGATTCAATGGGATCTCGTCGTTCTGGTTTTCTCGAAAATATACTACACCTTTCACGAGAGATTATTCGTATTATTTTCACGCGCGGAAAATATCTGGATCGTTTACGTCGAGACTCGTACTTTTCCAGAAAAACGCGGCAAGATATTACCGCGATTGCGAATATATATTCGATATATCGCGCGGATTCGGATGCGATTTGCGCGAAACGTTGAATTAAAAATCTCCAACTTTGAAAACAATTCCACGGAGATTAATAAACGTGATGCTGTTAATGTAGATTGGATGATTTTGACGAAAATGTATATTTTTCGATATTGGAACTAAAATATATTCGCTCGCGCGCGCTCGAAACACAATAGCATGTATATCCGCGAAATTTTATATGATGCTCTTTCATATTATATGTTTATATGCGCATATATATATATATATATATATATATATATATATATGTATGTATATTATACGTATGCAGAAACTTGACATTTCCAAGAGGAGATCCCGCCAGTTTGGAAATTTATATTCACGATTGCCAGTTAAATATCGTGTTTTAATTTTTCTCTGGCATTTGTTCCGCTGGTTACGTACTTATTCACATATACATATATATTGTTATGTATTCGATGATTCCACGCAATCACAACTATCGATTTCTGATATCATATCGATTTCCTCTCCCGCGGCAACTTTAAATATTATTTTTACGATATGTCATACCGCAGCACGTTGTTCTTTAGAATCTTTTTTTTCCATAAACTGATGGATTTTTGTAGTACGCGTATATATACGTTTTGTTTAAACATCTCTTTCTCCGTCTCTCGACGAGGCAATTTTCACCGGGATTTCCCGAAGCGATAACAATCTATCTTCTTTTCTCACAAAATATACGACGTGTACGAAATATATTTGGATAAACCGTTCGCTAAACACTTGCGAAAATTTCCATACAATATGTAACGATATTTATAAATATGAATATGGTATGCGTGTGTGAACGCGCAATGTGCTTTTTCAGGATTACATTTATATATATATATTGGCACAGGTATTTTTTTTTCAATTCAAGAAAAATGTACACAAAATGTGTTTGCATTGTTTGCAGTACCGGAAGGGAAACCGACCATCACGGCGGCCCATAATACCTCAGCGACGTCTATTTATCTGGCATGGAAACCACCGAGTCGCGATACCATCCACGGCGAGTTCCTTGGATATCGCATAGGATACCGACGACGAGAGAAGGCGGACGAGGAAATGAAAAACATTTACATTCGCGATCCCGCCGTCGACGTAAGTGGTCAAACATTTGACGTTTCTCGTTAATCGACCTCGCCTGGTGTCAATCGCGTTCGAGAAGAAATTATATTTTTCGTTCTTCCGCATTTCAGAATCACAGTATTCACAATCTGGATACCTTCACGCAGTATCTGGTTTCCCTGCAAGTCTTCAATCCCGAGGGTCACGGACCGGCTTCGACCGTGACGGTGATGACCGACGAGGGTGGTAAGTGATTGAGAAAAATTCTTTTTCACATTTGATGGGACATTTGGAAAAAATATAACGCCGAGATGGTGGAAAATGCATTCTCGAGTGGCGGATGAAAAGTATTTCATATATATCCGAGCACGGTAAAACAGAATACGATATCGTTCGTGATGGGATATTCGTGGAAAGCTAGCTTAGCTGCAGCTGCAAGACGAGAGTTCTACGTTGCAACGAAGGCAAATATTTTCTTATGCACAAAAATACCTTGCATCAAAAATATATATATATACGCGACAATTATTAAACAGAAACTTGCATTTCGCCTCGATAAAAATGGATCGATATTCTTGTTATCTTTGTTCTTGTTGTTTGATTGGATCCAATTACGAGTAGAGATTTAATTGAAATATATTTTTAGTATATTTGTTATTAAAAATAGTATATATAATGAAGCTTATTTTTTAACGGAGATACAAAAATAAAAATCGTAACGTTTATAAAGCTTAATAATTCTTGAATAATAGCTTGCTTATTGCCGACGTGTTTAAAACTTGTGATGATTATGCATACAAATCTATGCTGCTGATGATTCATCATTATCGCCATTATATTCTGAATCATTACGGTTCTGCGCATCTACCGCCAACAACTTTCTAGCTGCACTGCCGTACTCTTGTATACGGTAGAAACTCATTGTCGGAGAGTGCTCCGTTTTGAAGGGGAGTATATAGTGTATTCTCATAGCCGTACCTAGAGAATCTCGATACCCCGCGTTTATGCATCAGTTGCGAATATACCATTTAGCGCTTGAAAATTTCCCAATCGTGGGAAGATTTCCTCGATTTCATTCATTGTATGAAAAAATCAAAGTCGAGAAAATGTATATTCCATAAATTTCTAAAAATTCCACGAGGCTGTATTTTTCAACCTCGATGAAAAGAGAAAGAGACGGAAATCACAGAAAGAGGGAGGGAAGAAGGAAAGCGAGAGATGAATAGAGACGAGAGAGGGAATTTCACTGGTGCAAGAGAGAGAGACAAGCGAACGGGTCACGGGAAGAAGAGGGGCTCGTGACAGTCGGCGACCGAGCGACAGAGGAAGTCGGCTATATAGAGAACTAAAGAGAAAGAGAGACAGAGAGGGAGGAAGAAGACGAAGGGAGAGGGTAGAGGCGAAAAAGGAGAGAGAGGGATAGAGAAAGCGGCAGCAGCTGCCAGCGGCGTTTCGGTCGGCGCCGCGCCTGGTCGACGATCGATTTTCCCCGATTTTTCAGCACGTGAGAGAGACAGAGAACCGAGAGAGAAAGAGAGAGAGAGAGCGAGAGAGAAGCTCGAGTCGGCCGCGGTGAGCACGCTGCTGCATCGCGCGTCAGCCGGTCCCTGCCGTCGTCTTGGTCGTCGTCGTCGTCGTCGCTTCCGTCGCCGCAATCGTCATCCGGAAGAAGACGACACGACACGCGCGCGTTCGCGTCGAGCGCGCACGTGTATCTCGGTTCTTCGACCGCGCGCGACGCGCGTGAAGCTGTCAAAGTTGCACGCGGACGAAAACGGAGCGGCGCGAGTGAATAATATCCGTCAGCGAAGTCAGTTCACGAAGGAGCGTTTTGTACGCGCTTTTACCGGATGTATATCCCGATGAGGGATCCCGCAACCGACGTACGAACACGAGCCGAACGAAGCCGCAGGTTGAACGAGCGTGAAACCGCGCACGCTCGCTCGCTCATCGCTTGGCACATATATACGTACGTGCAAGCGAATGAGTGAGTGAGTGAATAAGTGTGAGTGAGTGAGCGAGCGAGCGAGCACGTACGGGCGGTGCAGTGTGCTGCGAGTGTGCGCGTGTAGTCGTCCGCATGCACGCGTCCGCATCCGCGGACTGCGCGCTCAGTGACAGTACGTGTGAGTTCCCGGTGTGAGTGTCGCTCTCCCTCGTCTGTGTGCAGAATAATCGCGCGGAATAATCGTGTCTCGCGCGAGGCGGGTGCGTGCGTTTCTTCCCGTGTTCGATTGCGGTCGGTGCGGTTCGCGAAATCGAACGCGTGGAAGGGAAAACAAGTATTCGCGAGCCTCATCCGGACCGTCATCTCGCGAAAGATAGAGATGTAGATATTATATATATATACATTCGTAGAGAGAGAGAGAGAGAGAGAGCGAGGTCTCGCCGAGATGGCGGCGGACCGTCGATTCCGACGACGCCTTCTCCGGAACCTCGCTGGTGACGCCTAGTTCGAGAAATAGAGACACCACGCAGAGGAAAAACGTCCTTCGCGACCTGGCCGAGAGGTCCTTTGTTCGCGTCGCGCCAGCTGTCACGAATCGCTGCCCGGTCGAAGCGTCGTCTCTCGGTGCTTCCCGAAATCGGATTTCGGACGGATGGGTAGGCGACGACGACGGGGTCGAGGGGTCGATATGACGCGAGAGCGAGATTCGCACGTCGAGCAGTTGCCAAAATGACGCTACAGCGGTGCATCCGAAATATCCTCGAATATCCTCCGACAGGTCTAAGAGAGTCGCGCATGCCCTTTTGGCCCTCTTTTTTCTCCTTATTTCGACAGTTCGATAATTGGTCTCGAGTGTTGAAAGAATAAAAAAAAAAAAAATACGAAGACACCATGTGATATTCATTGTGTTCTGTGATGAAAATAATCTCTCGGGTGTTCGAGAGGTAAATAGAAGAAAGAAAAAGCTTAATTGGTATCGGGACGTTCTCGTGAAACGTGGAAAGTGACTCGTGTTTATTTCGAGGAAAAAAAATAATAACTCGCCAAGTTCTCTCTCGATTTCGCGTCGATATAACGCGAAAACACGTTTTGCAAATGATTATGAAGGAGGCATTAATCAATTTCGATGACGATAAGTGTCGTGAAAACGAGGACTAAATTGTAGTTTCTCTTTGTCAATTACAATTATTCGATATATATTTGATGCGAAAGAAAATATTTCTAGTGCGCAAATTTCATATTGATTCAGAAACGTTAATAGATTACGATGACAGGACAAATGACACTTAGCTCATATTCTCTTTATACTCGATAGAAGGAAAAACAGGAATCGATATATAGTATCATCATGAGTCACTTCGATTAATAAGATGCATCTATTTTGTATTCAATGCCACATTCATCAACCTTTTTTTTCGTGCTCCGTTTATATTCGAACGCGAAGCAAAAAGTACGAACGGGAAATAATCCATCAGGATGCCATTATTACGAGAATAATTCACTAAAAGGAGCAAAGAATCAATCAAATCTATCCAGACAAAATATAAAAGCGCCGTCGAATAATAAAACGATCACCACCCAGACAGGGCGATTCTAATCAGAGAGAGGAAAATCGATAAACTTCCATCGGGTCGGGAGTGCCGTTGAATAATAATAAAAAAAAAAAAAAAAAAAGGCGACGTCTCCTTCATTTCCGCTTCTATTCCGACACACGGGGAGAAATAGCGCGACTCGTCGTCGGTGCGACGACGCCGACGTCGAAGGACTCCGTCGTCGTGCTGCGAGTTCGATCGGTTGAAACTCGGTGCATCCGGCCGCGTGGAAACGCGAGCGGGGAAGGATGGGAGGAAAAGCGAGGACGGATCGTCGTCGTTTAGGGTCGACGACGGTGGCAACGCACGCTCCGGTGCCTCTCTCGAGCAAAAATCTCGCGATTGAGGTCGATCCATTCCGCGCCGCCGTTTCTCGGACCGTTCCAATTTCGACGAAGCGATGCTTGACGTTTCCTCATGAATGATCCTCGCGAGTTCATCGCGATTGCATCCGCGAGGCAATACACATCTGTCGATCATCTCCGTATCTCCCTCTCTCTTTCTCTCTCTTTATACCTGCAACCGCGGAGCCGTAAAGAAGATTGAGTTCTCTTCCGAAGCTTACGTTTCATTTTTTATTTTTTTATTTTATTATTATTTTTTTTTATTTTTTTTTATTACAGACGAAGATATGATTATGCTGTAAAATGCTCAATGCTTCATTGTTAGCTGGGTCTTTTTCGGGTAATTTTTGACAGTGAATTGAGTGTTCTCGTGCCGGCACAAAAATTGAGTCTCGCGAAATGGGGCGCGGTCTCGTTATTCTCGTTTGGACGATTGTACTCGGGATCTTCCATCTCATTGTGAAATAAAAAACTCGAGCCAGCGTGGGATTAACGTGGGAGAATCCTCATGGATTAGCCTCATCCGCTTTGCATCCATCTTTCTTGTAAAAGAGAGGGCTGAAATTTCGCGGATTACTTCATAAATATTTTTCAAACGCGATAATTTCGATCGCGCGTATATTTTATGACTTGTAACGCACATAAAGAGAATTTTGCCGAGACATTATTATTTCTTCGTGGGCCAATTAGATTTTAAACATGGTCACCACGCGCGCGATTCTTCTGTATCGAATAAAAGTTTATATCGCCCCGAAATTCTGTCAATTACTTATCAATTCCGTCAATTACTTATCAATTCCGTTAGTCAATTAGATAGGAATATAAAGAAACTGGAACGCTCTCACTCTCTCGTTTTCTATTTCTCTTCTCTTCATTGTCAAGGAAGCGCCATTGTTATTGGCCGTCCTGTAATTTGCTTCTTTATCCGTTTAACCCGGCGTTCGAGCTAACTCAGTTTCTCCTGCGACTGACGTTTAATTGTTCGCGTTGCATTGGGAAAATTCACTCTCGCGTAGTTTTCGAAAGTACGGTATTTCGTTCTCTCTTCGTCGATCATCGAGAATTGAAGTAATATACGGAGCGTCGAAAAAGTGGCCAAACTTTAACGATCAAGGATTTATGAATTAGAAATCAATTTGTAAAACACATAATTTTGAAGAGGTTTTTTTTCTATAAATTATAAGAGAAATTGGGAACGAATCTATCGCGAATGAACAAAAATTCGTTCAATTTCAAGCAGTTCTTCAAGTATACAAATTTCATGTTAGCTCAATAAGACGATGTCTAAAAGAGAGATGAGAAAGGAGGATGCATAATTTGACTGAAGAAGCAATCAACTTCCAAGAATCCTGTTCCAGTGCAGTTTAGCTGTCACTTGATTTGAAACATACAATAGGATATTTCTACATTTATCTCTATTATATATTTATATACTTACATTTCTACTTTTATCTCTGCACTTTTATTCCGGATGATAAATGATAAATCGAACGACAGGACACAACGACGTATCGATATTGATGCGGCGTCGTGTATCATCGTTGTTTATCGACGCTGCAGCGTTTATATCCCCCTAGTCTCTGCCCACTAAAATGTAGGGGGAAATCAATCCACGTTCCAAGGGGGCCGAATAATTCGCTGCTGTTCTGTCCTCGTGACACGATCGCGCGTGATTCGTCGATGACGAATATTCGGGGAGTACTCGAGAGGATTCACGTCAGATTGCGATTGACGATAATTACAATTGTTGTTTATTCACTTTTCTTCTCAAGAATTATTGAACAGTTATCAACGTCCAAGCGACTCCGAGTGACACAATGGGGATTCACAAAATTATATATGCATCAAGATGTGTTGCGTATTATATCGAATTAAAGAGGGCATAGGGCTTCCTACTTTCGATTCAGGTTTTTCCACGTATACAATTGGATTTTTTTTTTTATTATTCCGTATACACGCTTCCTTGAACATGCGCCGAGAAAATGCTCTATTCCGTAATTCTTTCGCGATCAACCGATTCGCAGGAAAAAGAATTGACACCGAGGGGTCAATTCTTTTAGAGTATTGTCTCTCATACTAAATAATTTGCATTTCAACAGAAAATAAAGCCGCTCACGAATATAGTGCCATATAGCTGCTTGTCGCTCGACACGCGCGCGACGAAAAGTTGATTCATCATCTCTCGAGATAACCCGCGAACGCGTGCAAAATGTAACAGTGCGACAATGGACCGGCTGATGAATAAATGTGTCATTATGCGTACTACTTGGACTATTGTGACGACGGCGACGAAAAGACGGTGCTCCGTTAATTGAGAGGAAGCGCGCCGTGTTTTTCGGGCGAGGATGGGCGAATTTGTGAAATAGCGGCTGCAGGAAGAGAGGAAGAAAAAAATAGAGAAAGCGAGAAAAAGAGAGAGAGAGAGAGAGAAACGTACGCAACCGCACGCACGTGGCGTTTCACACCAGCTTGCAGCTGCAAAGAGGAAAGAGGAGAAAAAAAAATGACGTCGTGGGCCAACGTGGCCAGTGTCGCTCAACTGGCAGCCTCGCTAGCCCTGATCCTGAGATTCCTCATCGTTACCGCTGCGAATCCGATCACGCAGACAACCGACGAGCAGACCTTCGAGCGGACGACCTACATCGGTTCGCTGTCTTCCACGGAGAATGACAGCGATATTTATGGAGGTAATTTGCGGGGGATACCGACAGGATCGACGCGAAACCGTCACCTGCTTGGAGAAAGCGCGATGGGCGTGTTTAGAATAATAAGATGATAAAGAGACCAAATGAGAAAATATTTCATGATAATGATAGGAATAAAGGAAAAAAATAAGGGGAAGGATATGCTTCTCGATACGGCAATATCTTCTTTTCAAGCGTATTATTTTTTAGTATCTCTGTCAGAACAATTCATTTTACTATTAATAATTACGACATACGAGATTTTTTTTTAATATGCGGCGATGTAAACTCGATCTCTTTATTTTAGGTCTGAAAATTAAAGGTACACAGAGAGAATTTTCTCTTAGAATTTACCCTGAAAATCATGGAAGAATTGGAAGAGTTTTATAAATTTCTCTGATTAATATTCACCACAATAAAAAATATTAATATCTACCACAATAAGATATAACATATGTTCGATTAATTTTACTATGTACATATTAGTATTGTCCCATGATTATCATGATTTTCAGGGTAAATTCTTAAGAAAATTCTCTTCGTATAATTATATCGGTATTTCCAATTTCTCTTAGACACTCGATTTAATAACGATTGACACTAAATAAAGTGTGTGTGTGTATATATATATATATAACTCAAATAATAATTAGTACTACTAATTTATAATTACAAAGGTAAATAAATTAAATCAATCACTTAATGTTCACGTGAAGAAAACGAGGCGTTCCAACTATACGAGTTCAAGTAGAAAATTTTGCCTCTTAGCATCGATTAAGAGAGAATTAATTAGTAAAGTGTAAAAAAAATAATGCGCGAGTTTCACTAGGAAATGTCACTCGTCCATTCAAGTATCGCGTTACGCGACGACTACTTCGTAATCACCTTGCGAGTATATAAGAGATTGCCCAGTCGTGTAATCGATGCTTAACTCATTTCCCGTTCCGTCTCGATTTCACGGAACGCATATACATGCATTTCACGCCCAGGAGATGACTTTTTAAAGGACACGCGCCACCTCATCCGTTTCGCCTTCTCCTTACAAATCGCACTAACAATGCACACCTCCTAAGATTGCGCAAATATTCTGAAACACTCATGTGTGCGCGCATTGTTAGTGCTGCTCGGTTATTTTGTAATTGCCACGAGTGGCGCCGGCCTCGTTGCGGGAAAACTTGATGTTTTGTAACGTTTTCATTGCACGCGGAATTATTTTTCCGCCCAAAAGCAGTAATAAAATAATGACGAGATCGACCAGTGCGGTTTTTGTTTCGTTTTTATCTATACGCAAAAGAATGCGCGTTTTTTTTGCATTATATATATATATATAAATAGCATATAAACTGATGAATATCAGCGTAGCCGCAATTATCTACTGACCTTAAGCGTCATCGTGATATAAAATTATGGAAATATACTCTGCGAATTATTTTCAAGAGCAAAAGCGTCGAATATTATCTTCTTGCGCGGAATTCAGACATTCTATTTTTACGTCAGAATCCAAGGTCGGTAGCCTAATCCAGACGAATGGAAACGCCGTCAAAATTACCCGAAAACCGTATACGGGATTTTTTATAATTACATAATTTTTGCACAAGACCATTTTTAGCGTACGATATTTGACAAAGTTACAAAAAAATTTCATCTCGAACATTAGTGCCGAATTTTGCACAATCTTGTGTCATCTAAAATACATATTAAATATTTGGAAGTTTGCGTTTCATTCAAACTTCGAATCGAAGAAAGAATTTGAAGCACCGTTGCAAATGAATTCGGATGCAACTCGAAGCGGTGCAAATCGATGCAAGCGCAATAGCAGCTCGAAGCAGGTACCTCGTTTTCTTATCTGCAGTTCCTTTCACTCACCGTGAACCGTTACTCACACCGAGTACGAACCTATCCTAATAAAGGCACTTTCGCCTATACTTGACTCTCGGTACTTGGTCCCTCGAGGAAATTCCGCGGAGAGACGACAACTCTCTCGATGAGTAAGTCCCCTTTTCAATCTTGGAAATCATATAAAGGAAGTGCATTGTCTGACCTTCTTGTTTTATCGCGTCGTGACATTGTCCCTTTTTATCTTTCCTCTTTTGTTAACTATTAGATATATAGAAACGAGATAAGAGAAACGCGAGATTGTCGTTTCCCTATCGTGCTGGATTTGGAATACGGTGGTCTGACGATGGACGCGAATTAAGAAGGATTTTGGCTGGGAATAGTTTCGCTCTTCAAGAGCTACGCGCGGCGAATCGCAAGATCACGACCTTGCGGCACACGGGGCCCGTAATCGTATTCATTTTCAGCCTGATAGTAATACGAGTACGACTCCGGCTCGACCGTGTCGTTGTGCGTGCACAGACTCGATATGACATCATCCGCCGCAGCTTGTAAAGCTTGTAAAGGTGTATATCCCCCGTTCTCTCTCTCTTTCCGAGTAGCCTCGCATTTTATTACACGTCGTTAATTTAACGCGCGAATTCGATAAGGTGCTTTAAACGGAACGCTGCAGAGGATGATAACGCGCTTTAAAGGTCACTAAATAGTCGTAAATTATTTATCGTTCGCGAGAGAGAGAGAGAGAGAGAGAGAGAGAGAGAGATCAGAAACGATCCTCTCCGTCGTCGATAAATGGAAAATAAAATAGTTTTCAGCGGAATTTAATTTGTTGCAATTTCTACCCCGTTTGGAAAGGGGAATCGCGTATATAAATTTTAATTTATTTAGATGTATCGGTTTTTTTAATTCTATTCGATACGTTTGACAGCCTCTCCCTTATTACGCGTCATTTATTTATTTTGGAGTCGTGTCCGAGAGCAAGGATTACTGTCAATAATTTGCAGCTGAGGCTAGAATGCAAATCCATCTGCATGTTTTATAGCGCATACCGCGCAACATATGGTAATGCCGCGACAGATATTGAATATTCAATAAATTTGATCTCTCTTATATAAACCCATCGACGATCGTTTATTCATCCGTATTATTTACTCGAGGAAATAGAGCTTCAGAAAAATGGAGAGCGCAGCGGATTGGGCATATCGATGTCTATTGCTCGAAAGAACAATTAAATAATCGTATGGAAACGGACCTCTCTCTGGTCCAAACAATCCTAAAAAAAAAAAGAGAGAAAACGAGGAAAACGTTGCGTCGTATATTTTTTTTCTTATCGATAATAAAAGATAGGGAAAAAAAGATTCGACGTTTCTCTTTCATTCAGTTATGCCTGACCTAACGTGTGTACGATAGAAAAATTTATGACGTATACGAGTCTGTGTTTCTTTATGTCTATGTAAATAACGCGTTCATCATATGAAAAGGCGCGTTTGTGCTCCGACAATAAAAGAGCGAAATAAAAATTTTAATGGAAAGTCTCTGCTATTTTTGATGCAAGCGTTGTATTTTGAAATATTTTAAATATCTATATACATATACAATATATAGAATAGCTATACTATTTTGTCTCAGCGCGACATTGCGAATGTCGCGACGACGGAAAAGGAAAGGTCGATACATCAATTTATTGTAATGAAAATTGTATTTTTTTTCTCCCTCACTTTTAGCTCCGACAAAGCCGGAGAATCTCACCGCCCGTAACATCACGGGTAGCACCATTGAACTCTCCTGGTCGGAACCCGAGAATGCCAACGGAGTCATCGTCGGTTATCGCGTTTACTATATGCATTCCAACTATACGGACGTTAAAATGCACACACCCAATAAATCTGCGGACTCGTACGACCCGAATACCAAATTCCTCCTGAAAGATCTGAGTGAGTATACACATATATAAACATTTTACACCGTAAACAGTATTGCGCGAAGAAATACGACTGTACGAACGAGATTATTTATTGCGAGTAACAAAAGGAAGAATAAAGCAACGAAATGCTCGATTAAGCTAGATATTTATCCTTTTCTTTGAACGCCGCGTAAAAATACGCCGTGTGTTTAACCATTCCTCGACTCGCGCGCTATTCGCGCCTTTCGTTTTTTTTTTCGCGTCAGATAATACGAGATTACGCATGTAATCTTTAGTCGACAACGAATAGTCGTCACAGTAGACGGCTAGAGATAGAAGTCGGCTTGGCTCGTTTGATAAGGGAAGCTCGAGGAATTTCTTATCGCAGCGCACACGTTCCTTTATATGCTGCGCAGACGAATGCATCGTTAGATTGATAAAATTATTTTAATTCGGCACAATAAATAAAGAATGATATTTCATCTCGCGACAGTCGCGATCAGATCCGATATATGACGTCTGGTCATGCGCAAAAATAGTCTCTCTTAAGTTTCATTCATGAAGGTTAATTCGCTCGATTGCCATTCATAACCGAGCGCCGGGTTTCGTCGTTTGCAGATCCCAACACCGAATATAAGATTTGGGTGAAGGCCTATACGCGGAAAAACGAAGGCGAGCCTTCCGATCAGATTATTCGCAGAACCGATATAACAGGACCGAGTGCACCTTTGATCTTGAATTTGACCTGCCAGTCTCATCAGTCTCTCTACATTCAGTGGGCCAGACCGAACACTTTTTCCGGTTCGATCGATTATTACTACATCAAGTATCGCCCGGAAAATGGATTATTCGAGGAAATTGAATTATCTACCGAGAAGAATCATCTCGAGAGTGGGGTACGTCTCTCTTTCATAGTTTTAATTATATTAAATAATTACTAATAAGAATAATTTTCTTCTATGCTTCGCGTCAGCTTAGAAAAAAAGTAAATTATAAAAAATATTTGCGAATTTACTTACGAATACAGGCCATTATACCCAACCTGACGGTGAACACCGTTTACGAGATCATGGTGCGAGGAGCAACCAAGAGCACACTAAACGACCGGCTCATTGAAGGCGAGAGCTCCGCACCGACGAAGGTGTTGGTCACCCGCGACTGCGACAAGATTCCACCCTTGATGCGTCGCAGCAGTAAAGATCTCAGCCCCGGAGTGATCGCCGGGATGGTATGCGCCTGTTTCGCCGTGATGCTGGCAATTACGTCCTTCGTGCTGTGGAAGTAAGTCATTTAATGCACGGCGCGTTATCACGGAAACCTTAGCGCGGACCGACTCGATTATCACACGATATATTTCCGCGTTGATAAAATGCAATTGCGCATAATTCCAGCATATAAATATACATATAAAGTCATTTGAATTTTTAATTTCTAATTATCTCTTTTTACTTGAATAATTTGAGATATGCAATCGACGAGTAATTATAAATTAATAGAATGATAATTTTTATCTGGTTTAATATTAAAAAAAAAAAAATAGAATGAATATAATATAAAATTATAATGAGAAAGAGAAAAAATTTCTATACTTTCTCTGGATACACGCTACGCTTTAATATTACAGCCGATCTTGCGAAATTAATTCTGATGTTTCACATCCGCTCGGCGCCGACTGATTTAATACTAAACGATCTATTATTCTTGTTACTTGGGAATTGTAGTCCAGACTCTAAATCGGTACTTCGAACTCTTAACGCATTTCTCGGATCTCGATTTGTATTTGATGCCGCACAATTGAAGGTTGTAATTACGTGTATCTTTTCCCATTCAAATTTACGAGCTTTAATTAAATCTATATAATGCTCTTTCTATTTTAGATACTTGGCTTATTCAAATTGTGATTAGATAAATTTTAACATAATAACATATATAATCATCCATACATTCTAAAGAATATTTTTAAAAATTGAAATAAGAGATAATAAGTTTATTTCTGACAATCTTGTTTTAAAAATAATTACGAACAATAAAATTATCGTAACGCTGAAGAAATTGTACATTTCGAAATGGCTTATATATTAGTTTTATATAGGAGGTCGAAATAATTTCGAAACCGACGATGATATCATCGAATTTATCGGACGCAATTTACGAGACACATTCTATACGTGTTAACGTGAAGATACGCGAGCGCGGTACACTTTAATGATATCTCGTCGCGCTCGCGCTCTTAGGTCCCGCTCGTTATCACGCGAGAGATAACACGCGCGCGCGGTGACAAGGGTCCGAGTGTGGTCTTTACTGTTACCGGAGCGGAGTAAAACGCGCGCGGAGCCGAGCCGGAACGCTTCGCATCAAGCGGAGAGACTTGCGCGCCGCGAGTGGAAACGCGAGTGCCACGCGCGAATCCGCGAGTCTCCTCTCGCGCGCTCTTTTCTTCGCGCCTCAGTGTCTCGGGTGACGTTCTCGGGTACGAGCGAAACGACACGCGCGATGTCCACGAGACGGATCGGCTGATGACAAGACTCATTTTCTGGGTCACGAACGGAGTCTTGCGGCTTACTTTACTTAGTCGTTGTTTATTCTGCGAGCGCGCATCGTTCGTTGATTCCTTCGGATCCTCTCTCGTTCGGGGAGTCCCGCCTATATGATGGATATTGTCGTCAAAATGAAGAATATGCCGTCGAAATGAAGAAGTTTTTCGTAATTTGTAAGTCTCGATAGTCGCGAGCGAAAGAATGCGTGATATCAGTATTAGATTGATACGGTATATCAATATTTGATCGTTTCTATCTGACCAGTCCGCATGTGTGTTTTCATTGATACCGTAAGCTCTACCCGGTTGAATGAAATGATTCATTAATTGATTTCGTCGCCGGAAAATATTTATATTCATATTATTTAAAAAAAAAGAATTTTGTTTAAATACTCAGAAAATATATATACTTCAGAAATCGGACATCTAAACGTGTGTACGTGTATTTTTTTTTCTAGACCAATCTTTAGGAAATGCTTCCACACTGCCTACTACTATCTGGATTATCCGCCGCGAAATGTTCCCACTCTTCAGGAATGGGAAAACAGCGAGCAGGACGGCGAGAGAACCGCCGTGGCTGTCCAGCAATTTGTCCAGCATGTCGCGAGTCTTCACGTGGACGGGGACATCGGTTTCAGTAAAGAATACGAGCTCATACAATCCGAAACGGGAGACTACACCGTGGAGAATTCTCAATTCGCTGAGAATAAGGCCAAGAACAGATACTTGAATATACTCGCATGTAAGTAGCCTTTTGACGTGTATCGCGCTCTCGCATTCGTGCGCTGTCGTAATATTTACAAATGAAAGGAAACATCTTAATATAGAACCGCGCTTAACACTCCACAGTTTTCTACATATATTCCTCGCGAAAATATTCTCTACTACTTTTCTAAAGGATATTTCCATTCACCAATCGTCAAGTCGATATATTCATTACGATTGATTTATTTTAGTTCAGTCTAACTCAACGGCTGACCTCTTCATTGATTCCATCTGACTGGGAGCATTATGACGTACATTATCAATTCTCTCTGACGATAAAAAAATTCGAAGAAATTAAAATTTATCTAAATAAATTTCTCGCGTTTAATAAAACAATAAAATAATTTAGCGAAAAGTGAACATTTCTCAATCATTCGGGAATTATATGTACAGCGAAATTTCTGTTAATGGAAAATTTTGTCAATGCCTTCTCTTTTATCATGTGTATGCGGAAAAGAGTAATAAACTTCCGTCAAATTAAATCGACGTCTTGATATAAGAGATATCTCGATTTGAATTGTACGTTGATTTACATCTTTCGATTACATTGATAAGCGGATAATTATATAACGCATTTTTACAATTCGTATTTTTAAACTGACAATAAAGCAACATTGTGAAGGTATACAGTATTTTTATTGAAAATAAAACGTGAAGCGTGCTTTATTTAATTTTACTTGATTCGAAAAAAATAAATTATACATTTTAATATTATTATCATTAGATGATCATACTCGGGTGCAATTGCTCTCCTGCGGCGGTGGACCTCCTAAAAAGGGCCAAGATTACGTTAATGCGAACTACATCGACGGGTGGCAAAAAGCACGAGCATACATCGGTACGCAGGGTCCGCTCCCGCCTACGTTCGATGGCTTTTGGCGGATGGTTTGGGAGCAACGCGTATCAATAGTCGTAATGATTACCAATCTTGTCGAACGCGGTCGTGTAAGTATGACTTTGCTATATCGCATATTTTTTATTAACATGCAGAAATTTCATAATAAATAATAAATAGTTTAATTATTTACATGCAATTTCCAGTTTACACATAATGTAAATTAGTAAAATGCACATTTCTTGAATTATTATTTTTTATTAATTTTATTATTAATTACTATTTTTTTATTATAGAGGAAATGTGATATGTATTGGCCCAAAGAAGGGACCGAAACGTACGGTTACATTCAAGTGACTTTAGTAAAGGAGGACATTATGGCGACATATACTATTCGTACCCTTCAAATTCGGCATTTGAAGGTATATATTTAAAAATAAAATGGACACATGCGTGTGTGAGACATTCTAACAATAAGGAGGACGCATAGGCATAAAAATAAATTGAATAATGTTTATCAATGAGATTTTTTTTTCGCATTTTTAAGCAGATTAAAAAGAAGAAAAATGGGACCAATATGGGTGAACGTACTATATGGCAATACCATTATACCAGCTGGCCTGATCACGGCGTACCTGATCATCCGTTACCCGTTTTGAGTTTTATTCGTAAATCGTCAAACGCTAATCCGCCCGAAGCTGGACCTATCGTAGTTCATTGCAGGTAACAATCGCTACAACATTTTAGTAAGAAAATAAATTTTTAATCAATTCAATTTAATTTGTATGTGTTTCACTTATTTTCCAAATATTTTTTTACTATTTTCTATTTTATATACGTGTACAAAAAATATATTTTTTTGCACTTCTTAGTGCCGGCGTTGGACGTACCGGAACGTACATCGTGATCGACGCCATGCTGAAGCAAGCCAAGGCCAAGAATGAAATCAATGTATTCGGTTTTCTCAAGCATATCCGTACCCAGAGAAACTTCCTGGTTCAGACGGAAGAGCAGTACATTTTTATCCACGATGCCCTGCAGGAGGCGATAGAGAGTGGCGAGACCAATATCAGTTCTAACAATTTAATGAAGCACATTCAAGACATGCTGTGCCCATCGAATAACAAGACTGACGCATGGAACAACTTAGAAACTCAATATAAAGTGATTGTTTTACTTCTTGAAGCTAAATATAATACATAATTACGATTATTAAATTATTAACTTCATTATTTATCTTTATTAGATGGTAACGTCGTGGAAACCTAAGGATTTCAATCTCGTGTCTGCTACCAAACCCTGCAACATTCACAAGAATCGTAATATGGATATTATTCCCATCGAAAACGCCCGCGTTCATTTAACGCCAAAACCAGGTGTCGATGGAAGCGACTACATAAACGCGACTTGGGTTTCAGGTAATATAGCATATCTTTTGTATTGGTCTAATATCTTATTGCAAATGAAATGACAATGAAATGCGTTATGTCTAGGTTTTCAACGGAATCGCGAGTTTATTATAACGCAGCATCCGATGGAGAACACCATAATGGAGTTTTGGCAAATGATGTGGGACCACAATGCACAGACAATTGTCATGTTGACTCAATGTGACGAGGTACTCGAATAAAACTTATTAATAATTGCATAAAAATTAAGAGATAATTTTGAACATTTTGTGATAAAAAATGCCTAAACTCCAGGAATACCCAGAGTTTTGGCCGGTCGAAGGAAAGGATCTCGAATCCGAAACATTCCGAGTGCGACTCTGCGGAACAAAGGAAACCGTGAACGGGACTATCCTACTCGAAGTCGCGGTTCGATCATTGCAAGACGATTATGAACTCAGCGCCAGGATCGTTCAAGCGCCGTCGAATCAGAGTGGTTTGTGGCCACATAACAACAATCCGAAGACTTTCGTCAGCATAATCCAGGACTTTCATCGAGATTATCAAAACGGTCCTATCGTCGTAATGGACAGGTACATCAGAATATCATCTTCTTGTTTATTAACAGTAATTGATACAATTAATTAATTAATTGAGCGAATATAACTCTTATTATTATTTATTTCAGGTATGGCGGGGTCGAAGCAGCACTCTTCGTTCTATTGACTACCTTAAATAAACAATTGGAATTCGAGCAAAGTGCTGACGTTTACATGTTTGCGAAGCTGCTTTATATGAAGCGACCCGGTGTTTTCCGCTCAAAGGTAAATTCCAAGTTTATCAAATCTTGATGCAATTTTAATTATATATCCGCGATAAAGACGAAGATGTATCCTCATAAATGATTTAATTCCTTGTAGGAGGATTATGTATTGCTGTACCAGTGCTTGGAATCTATGCTGTCGACGAAAGGCCGCGCGGAACCTGATTTGTACGCCATGGCGAACGGACACGTTGCCTCACTGAACGACCCGAACGAGATCAGGTCGGGCTCATCGATCCAACATATGCCGCTAGATTATCCATCTAAGTCATCTGTCATTCGCGAATACGCTACCGTAGAAGTCAGTTCCGAATACCTATCCGATTACACTATTCCCATATGCGTGGATCACCCGATCGAGTCGTCCAGCAGCCGTGGGAGCGAACCCTGCCTCTCCTCCCACGGCGGCAGCAACGATCATGTAGTACCATCGGAGAAAAGCATGGTGGTGTCACAGAGAAACATTAGCTATCATAATCATCCACCATCCGGCGTATCCGTAATGGTCGATGCTAATGGTTATATCACAAATGGCAGCATGCGTGTACCCTCCGACAATATGGAGCCCAGCTGCAAAATGATGCCACAATGATGCCGGCCTATCTTCGGTTGCAGCGCACCTTCGCGAAAATCAGCCCCGCTGTAATCGAAACTTCCTGAATCTCTGGAAGTTTAATCTTGACCTGGTAAGTCAAATTGAGTCAAATATACATAAAATGTCTTGGACTTGGAAGACGCAGCAGAGATATGATGTTGACAAATCTGTTTCCCCGAACAGACTGATCTTCGCATCGCGAAGGAGAGGTGATGGTTCTTATATTCAAGGAAGAGTTGAAGAATATCTTCAAATGGATTTCTTAGTGTACATAGGGCTAAACGTGAATGTTAAACGTGAAGATTAAACGTGAAGGATTATGAATTTTGATAAAAGAAACCCCCATCTTCGGCGTCGCGAGAGCGGACAGTGCCAAACAAAGAGACAAAATTGCCGCCGATGTATGCCGAATGGGTGACATTTATCTTATCCGTCGCGTAAGTTTATGCTGTTCAATCGATATGTATATATTATATATAATTATATGTAATTACTGACATATACAATACACACACACATACACATACACACATATGCGTTTGCACAGACACATGCATAAATATGCATAAACGTTAAATGCACGCGTACATGCTATAAAATAAATATATATAAGTACATGTACGGGATGTGTGTGTGTGTGTATGTGGGTGTGTGTGTATGTATGTATGTGTGTGTGAGTGCATGTGCATACGTCGAATATCCGACAGCTTCGAGTTGCCAAAGAATCATTACGATAGCCTAATTGTTAGGATGATAATATGAGTGGATGAATGTGTATATGTACATGTACATATATATATATATATATATATATATATATATATATATATCCATGTACACATTTATATCTAATTATTCTATGTGTATAGTTTATTATATATGTGAGGATACGTCGTCCAGATGAAATCTTTTGCATATACTGAGAATCACGATCGTCGCGCGTAATGATATTAATTTATAAGCATCTGCCCTCTCTCTTGTTATTATTCATTCATTCGATTTGATCTAGCCTCGAGTGTTGGCCGCGTGATATGCTTATATTACTGCCATTTAGAGAAAATAATTAATCAGCGACTTGCTAAAGGTGTTAATTATTAATTCGTAAAATTAAGTTAGTCGTGTGATTTCTCATGTAATTATGATCGATCGTCGCATTTGTATACATATATGCGAATCAAATCAAAACTACTATACCGTATCGGTTAATTCGCATCATACGCGCATTCGTAAACGAATCGAACGCACAACTTTATAGTAGATATGGTATTATATGGTTTTTTGATAATATCTAATCTAAATGCTAAGGGATTACGACCTTTTTATGGCGCGAATTCTTATAAATATCATAAGTTTCTCACAAAAAATATAGAAGCTGGTATTATCTTTGGTGAAATTGCCAAACACGTTGTTGTAGTTTGTGTCTTTCTTTAATTAAAATATGATATAATAATAATTTTCTTACGGTGATGACAATCGAAATATTTTAATAATTATGATTTGCCGTTATTTATATATTTATATCCGAGAACTGTGAAATAAACCAAAGCATTTAACGATTTTAAAATGCACGGCGTTCGCATTTTTTATATTATACGTGTTGATATTATACATTAACGTTCAACGGTCGTTGAAAACAAATCGACTTGTAAATCTATCGGTATATTTACGTAAATAACTGATTATACACTTTCGCAAAATTTATAAATTGCCTTTTAACGTATTAGGATAATATATGTTAATTTGCATTATAAATGATGCGTCTAGAAAAAATTTATTCACATACATATATATCGTGCACTATTTGCAAAATAATATTCAATTATTCAACTTTTGCTTATTAATAATTAATAAATTGAGTTAATTGAGACGAGATGAAAGTTTCGATAAAGAAAAATCGAAAATCGACAAGTCGCTCTTGTTACATTATCGCGCGTATTGATTTTTATAGAAATGTCTTTATCAATTACATTCGTTACAATATGAAACATATAGTTGGATACTTTATAAAGTGTACGTTCCGTCGCTTGTGGCCTAAACTCTATAGTACAAATTAGATTCTACGTTTGAACAACTACTCATTTAGTTAATGAACAATTAAGTGCAAAAGACAATTTCAAACCGGTTCGTTTCAACTTGCCGAAATTATATTATAATTAAAAGTAATGATATGATTCCAATATAATAATTACTACAAACATTAGTAGTCTACATTAGTATATTATATTGACTGACATTCTTCCGCTTTTAATTGATAATGTCGCAAAGAGAAAGAAAGACAAAAACAATCACGTTTTCATGTTTTCCTCTCACGCGTATATATTCGGTAGATTTATTTTATTATACTCTTACGCGAATGCGAAAGTCGCTCTTCTGAAACGTCACCCTTTAGATAAGCTGCTTTAGCAGAATCACTGAACGAAAGGGAGAGAGCAGAGGCAAACGAATGCAGAGCGCTGAAATTGAAATGTACATACAAAAAAAAGAGAGAGAGAGAGAGAGAAAACTCTCTATGTTTTGTCGATCAGAGTCCGCTGTGATTAATTATGAGAAAAATGGTACACGTGCTCTCGTTAGGAAAGATTGCGTTACCATCGATATAATAACGTCACGATTAAAAATGCTCGTAAAAAAGCATGTAAGACTGACTGTTGTGTTGTTTGTGAAAATTAGAAGGAGAATCAATTCCCGACCCGCGTTCGCTTGCGTTGAAATCGTGACGATCACGATTACGAGAGCGTAAAGCAGAGATTTTTAGAAGAAGGAATAGCACACACGCGATATAGCTATTCCTTTCTTATACAGAGTTACTACTCTCTTAAGAATCACGAAGTAGCGCCGAAATGTAACAAACACGCTTGCAGCGCAAATAATGCAAGCATTTTCCGGAACGGACCGAAAGGTGAATCGATCTTCGAGAGATCCCGTACTGATCTTATTATGTGCACCCGATTAAATCAATCTCGATTAATCATCAATTCGTAAGTACGAATGGAACACCTTATCGACTATCGTCTATAGCTATAGAGATTACTATGTATGTAAAAAAATGTGTCTTTTAATTAATGCCGTAATAATTTAAGTCACCGAAAAAAATAAAAGCGAGAAACGATATTATATATTACATAAATACACACACACACACACACACAAATACACCGAAGAAATGCGTACACATCTGAGTGACAGACAACTCACACAAACACGGACTCGTCGCGCTAATTACTTGTGTGAAAAGAAAAATATATATATAAATATTTATGATATAATGAGAAATGTGTGGAGGGGATCAGAGAAAATAAGAGAATTGTAGATGCGTGGTGGACGAGGAATCGCCCAGAGATCTTGAGATCAGCGGAGACACTTATATAGAGACAATGCCATATAGATGAAGGGATAGCGAATGATTTGTACAGCTAGGGGTACAAGAACGATATCTCGTCGCGCAAAAAGCGGACAGAGACGCGATCTATATACTGTATTTTACGATATTACACGGTTATATATGCATGTACCTATACACGAATTACACAAAATAGACGTCTAATGAGGTATGAATGACCGTCGAGAGATAAAGCGATCGTCGAGGGACGTGGTCGCCCGTATATAATTCGATGATAAAATAGGTGGTGTGTATAGATAAAATGTAGACTCTAGTCAACATAATATTTGTAAGATGACACACATACACACACACATATACATACACATGTCTCGTTCGTTTCACACCGTTAGCTCGCATCTAGTTCTCTTGGCCTGTTTGTTTTTTTTTCTTTTTTTTTTCCTTCGTCCATTACGCTATCGATGAAAGACAGAAAGATGATGTCGACGCGTGACTGCATTTTTTATCGTTTATCCTGATGATTATAAAACAGCTATGCTGTGGGAGGTACATGAAAAAGAGAGGGAATACTTTTCTTTATTTTTTTTAATCAAAATTCCACTTCGAAACGCGAGCTCCTATATGAAAATCGTTTCACTGATATTAATTGTGAATAATTTCGAACATTGTTTAATAATCGAATAGTGTCTGTCGTGGAGATTCTTTTTTACACGCACGATATAATAAAGACTTGCGATCGCGTAACTGTAGCATTCGCGTGGACCATACGTGGAAGAAAAGAAAATAGTTCGAGAGTTAGTTTTATGTGATATGGATATATATATACATACATATATGCGCACATATATGTATATATTACGTATGTATGTATGTATGTATAATATATGTATTTTATTAAGTGAAAAGGAATCAGGAACGAGAGAATCGAGCGCGAATCATATTAGCGCAGTCAACATTCAGAGTCTGTTACTTGTATGAAATAAGAAGAATCTGGCGATGTGTAGAAATGTACGATGTATTCATAGAGAATGTGTATATGTCGAATGCCTACTCGAAACTTCAATAGACAACTGTGAAAAATCACACTCAAAGCATTCGTTCAATTGTTTCGCGTATATATATATATATATATATATATATATATATATACACATAGTTTTGTGCCGCAGTGTGTGTCTACGATTTTTATAATTATTATTGTAAAATGAATTGTCGCAACACAACATACAGGAGACGCCCGTTCGAACGTACGCACTACGGCCTACACTAACTGTAAAAAAAGAGAGAGAAGAAGCTCTATACATATACACGATGTACTAACAATTCACGATCGATCTGCTGGTTTTCCGGCTAAAACTGTAGCGGTTCGAAAAAAAATTAGAAAGTTATAGCGAGAGAGTCCCGAGAGAGACAAGGAGTGTCACGAATCCGCGCCATGCCCAATTAATATCCGAATACGATGAGAAAAAACACGAAGCCGATACGTAAAACGACAGTCGAGACTGCCAAACGTACCTACGAACATTTCTTCTTTTCTCTTTTTCCTTAACTCTTTCACTACGCGGTAATTAAAAAGATTATGATGTGGCACGTATTATAAATATCTTTTATTTCAATGACATTTCCAATGTATTTTTAGAGCGAAAGTCTATAGAGAGATATCTTCTGAAATTAATTCGATAATTAGAGAATCAAATTTTTTATCCACGTATTGGAAATGTGTAGAGGATATCAAGTTAGTAATTGAGCGATCAAATATAGCGATCACGAGGAAGAAGTCAGGCATTTATAATTATTAAACCGATATAATATATTTCTGTCCCTATATATAAAATCAGGATTGTGCAAGCGAATAAAGGCAGCGGCCTTTTGTACCAGTAGCGAAAGAGTTAATCATCTCCGAGCATAGCGACCGCACTGCCTTCGATAGAATTTTTAACAAATCGATTCCGATCATCGGTCGAGGATGAAAAGGATGATTCGGTCGACGAGACGAGCCGCGTGGCTATATATTTAAAGCGAAGCACGAATGAAAAAAAAAATCAAACGGATCTGTTTCTCCTGTTCCTATATATACGACGTCACGCGAATCGTCTTCCTGTCGACGCGACTCTCGTTATTAATTATTATAAATCGTTAAGCGCTAAAGAAAAACGACGCGTCACGAA